AAATGTGGCAATCAAATCAAGTACACACACACGAAAACGAAACGCTTATCTCTTTATTGATGGAAAATACGAAGGAATTTTTCAAAAGAACACCAAATTTACGACCTACAAGATAGTAAAAATCGATTTCGATTGTGAACAATTTCAAATGAGTGTTGCAAAATGGTTGATTTTCTCGATGGTTTTTGCACTGTACGGAGTTGTGCACGGAGAGATTTTCCATTGATGATTACTTCCACCGATGAAAAGAGAATGAATGGTAAATTAAAAAGTCTGCTCAAGTTTGCCATTTTATTGTGTGCTGTTGATGCAATGGGATGCATTTGGCACGGGTGTGTGATATGCTCGATGCAGATTTTACATTTGTTTGCTTTATTTACATTTTGTGCTAATGTAGCTACTGCATTTTGGTCTTGATTTTCTTTTGTTCGGCCATTAATGGAAGCAAAGGCTGGATTTCTTGCATAGAAGCTAGAGTGTCTATGGTGTTTAGTTATTTGAGGGTAAAACATAAAAGGGAACAACCAATAAGTAACGAAAGAGAGTGTTGGAGGAAGAAAAAAAGCGTTCGAGAGACAGAGACAGAGAACGAACGGGAGAAAAGAGGAATCACTGAGGATGGTTCGGGTAAGAAAATACGAACAAAACGAGTAGTCAAAATGGTGTGATGTGTAGGTGACGGATGTGCTAAACAAAGCAAAAAGTGACAAAAATGCACGATATTCGCGTGTCTCTCTCATTTTGCTTTGTTGACGTCGCTGCAGCACCACCAGTAGCAGCAGCAGCAGCGGTATGCACATAATTCGTCGTCCATGGCATGCATCATCAGAACATGTGTACACTCGTCGTTTTCTATGTTAATAATCTTTTTTCATTCTGGCATGCATCTACAAGAAGACGAATAACAAAAAATATAGCGAGCGAACACAAGAAATTAATTTCCGTTGCAACTAGCAACGCCAAAGCAATATGACTACGTTGTACGTACACCTGAGTGTTTATCGTTATTGGTCCGTTCGCCTTGTACTGTTTTCACTATCACTTTTGCATTGGCTACACTTACAGCTTCCGCTCAGTTTTCACTCTTTCTCTCTGTCTCCCTCTATCTCTTGCCCAGTTGATTTCATCTGCATTGCTCTCTCTCTCTCTCTTTCCCTTCTTCTTCTTCTTTCTCAATTCCTCCACTTGATTTTTCTGCTGCGTCGTTGTAGTGTGTCGCTGGGGTGTCAAGTCCACAGCCATTTCTATACTTGAGCACGCACATCGTCCTTTGCAATATGCTTACTAAGTGTATGTATGTACAATTACATGCAAAAATGACGTGACTACAACAATGACAACAACCATACGAAAAGGAACACATTCCACTAATTGTGGTTAGCTTGTTTTCGTACCCAATTCTCGCTTAATGCAAGGCACCTATTTCACACTCCAATCTCTTTTCTCTCATTCTTGTCTTGTCTATTCTTTCCATTCTTTCTCAGTCTCTGACTCTCTTTCGCTCGCTTTCAGCTCATCATTTTTCCACCATTGAATGAAATACTTTCTGGCTCACACAATCTTACACCACTTGTTCAACCACCCCAATAGATATCTGACAAGAATGAACGATCTCTTTCTAAAGCATACCACACACACCGTATGTTGTATGTTTGCACAACTTAAATAGGTACGATCTATGCATGGATACACTTTTCATTTATTTCATTTTATTTGCATGTTTATTTTTAGCGCTTTTTCACAACACTCTGCGAATAGTGCGGTTATACGGTTTTTTTTCTCTTTCTCTTTCTGCTTCTTCCTCTTCGTTTGAAAAAAAAAAAATAAAAATGGAAGAAAAAAAATTTTGTATCCGTGTGAAGATGCATGAATGCACTCATTCTACGTTCATATGCACGTTCACTTGCAGGCCATGTCACTATGTGTATGCTCTCAACAATCTTTCGGAGTTATCAACTCAGTATAGGTTCGTTATTTCTCGGTCTCTCTTTTTTTCTCTCTTTCGCTCTCGCTCTTCTCTTTTTGTGTGCACTTGTTCTTTTGTCGCTTCCGTAAATGTTTTCATTGTTCGTTCGGGTCTTTCATATATTGCACAATGCGAACCAATATGACATTATGGCTACTGAAGTGAATGGTTGTGTGGATGTAAGAGAGTGTTAGGGCCAGAGCAGCGCTGATACTAAACCAAAAACAATGCTTTAAACCATTTCATGGAAAGTGCCTCGTATAAAAAAAACGAATAAAAAAATCTCATCAAAACTTTAGTTTCGGTGATTGAAACGGTAAATGATACCGATTTAAAGTTTTCCCAAAATCTAACGAACGAAATAAAAAAAGAAGTGGAAAATCTTTGAAAAAGCGATATTTTCCGAATATTTCCCCGATGAATTCGTTTAAACTGATATTTTTCCTGTGAAATTCGTTTTCACGCGTGATTCATTCTTTAGATAAAATTTGTTCATCATAGTTGGTTGTCAGTTGAATTCGAAAGCCGGATGAAAAATCTTATTTTCGCATCATCAAATAGTTTTTCATCATATTTCACACATTTTGAAAGGTACTTTTGCTTCTGCTGCTGCTGCTGCTGCTGTTGTTGTTCGCTATGGGATCGATTCAATGTGTCGAAACAAACAAAAAAATAAGAACAAATTTCAACGGTTTGCTGCCAAAGTTTGGTTTTCTCACATTTCACCTTCCATTACTACATTTGACTTGCTATGATTGGTGTCATGTAGAGGAAGGAAGAAAAAAACACTAAACAACCAACCACGGACTATTTCATATGCATAGAAAAAATTGAATATGTTTACTTATTGCTTATCATTTCTTTATCGTCAATCTTGATGCCGAAAAATTTGAGCGGCGTTGGGTTTTTATTCAAATTTACAATTCCTCTTTACCGCACCCTTTCACCTTCCGACGAAGTACATGGTATGGCATACGGCACACAGTAGCAGAGATGGCAAACTTTTGTTTCAGTTTAGTTTCCATTAAAATGGAAATGACACACAAATACATTGGATTTCCGGTTATTTTTCTCTTTTTTCCCTGGCAAAGACGCTGTTTCATTTTCGCTGAAAATATGTAATAAGGGCGATGTCAAACATGATGGGAATTACATCTCATAGGCGAACAAACCGTTTCACTGTAATTTTTTCTAAATACCATCAAGTCACAGGAACAATACAAATAAATACATGCACGACAGTGCGGTGTTAACCTGGTTCGATGCGAGCGCGTGTGTGCTTTTGCGTTCTGTTTGCATTGCGGTTGTTGTTGTCGCTGTTTTATTCTTTGTTCATCTCGTTAAATATTCAAATCGTATACGTGTGAAAACCGAATATTATGGCCCGGAATGACTTTGTTTGTTCATTCAAGATCGCTTATTAAACGAAGAAAAACGACACGCAGCACTCTAGGCGAGGGACACTCAAAACACTCATCGTACATATATTGTGCGGGCACTATCGATGCCTTCATTTGTGTGAGTGCGATTGTGTAAACGACAATTCGTGTTCAAAATGTGTACGATGACAGCCTCGAGCATTCCACGCGTAGAGGCGTTTTGGCGTCTTACGTCAAATCTTTCCAATGTATTTGTATACGAAGAAAGCGACCTTGGTTCATTTTTTGCAAAAATTGTCTTCCGAATGTATCGATCAATCATGACTGAAACAATTCTAATATGAAATGATGGGATAATTTTTATACCTTTGTCATATTTATATTTCGTAATTCGTTGTCATCGAATACGCACACACACACGTATAAAAAAACAAATCAAGACGTTGCATTTTTACATTGATCCATTTTAATCGCACTTCCCTTTTTATTATGATTATGTGAACCGTTTCCAAAAATGAAATGAACATCAAAATCTCATAAATTTAGATATATGCAAATTGTTGTGGGCTTTTTTTTCTTCTTTCATTTCGAAGTAAAGGCGAATGTCTTGAATCTGATTGATTTATGTGATGTAGGAGATAAGGAGTGTGTATGACATCTGTCTTATAGTTTCCGATGAATTTCATTATTTATTATGATTAAAACAACCGATTTCATTTCCAACTTATTCGATAGAAGTATGACGTTTTTTAAGCATGTTATGCTCCTATTGAGCTACGAATATTTTACAATATTTTTCTGTAAAATTTTAGGTATAAAGATCATTGATGATGCAACAAGAGGTAAATTTTCAATATTCATCCCATTTTATTCTTCATTATTTGTTGTTCTCTTCTAAGAAATGAATTTCATGTACATTTACTACTTACATTTCATAGTGTACTTAAAAGAGTTTCATCCAGGATTTAAAAATGATTCGAAAATTGTCAGGCATTTCTTATGTCTTTGAATGTAAAAAGCTCTGAACGAATCTTACACATTTCCTAAGTATTCTATTACGTTCTACGTAGTAACACATTCTAGTCCTAATGCCATTCAACTATAAGTCAGCACAAATGGAGGAGGGGATGTGAAGATATTTAAATTCGATCACACGAACGAATGACTCCGATAAAGTGTTTAAGACTACTTATGAAGACTATTTGGTATAAATTCAATAAGTTTCTAATGGATATTGGAAAAAAAGTTGGAACAACCATGAAACCACCAACAGAAAAAAGAGAATAACCGTTGCAGAATATATATTGGGTTTAATGAATTAAGCGATAGTGTGAGTGAAAAAAGTCAATAGTTTAAGTATTAAATGGAAAAGGGGAAGAGAAACAAAAGCATTGTTTTAAATCAAAACTACACAAATCAAATGGATTTTATTTGCCAAATGCTTTGGGTAAGTTTTGGTAGTGGGGGGAGAAGAATGGTAAATGGTGTGGCGATAGTTGAAGCGAAATAGAGGCAGAGCGTCATGCAACACACACACATACTAAAAGCATTTTGTGGGCCACTAGCTACAATCCTCTACAAAAACCGTTTTATGCAAAATGATAACATTAACGATAATGATAATGATGATAACGATGCTCATAAATCAAACTTACCTCGACCGACGTGTTGTCGGATCCTTCATGACCATAACTTCTGTTATTTCGCCAAATTTACTAAAGTAATCCCTCAAGCTTTCTGCAAAAGAGAAAGAGACAAAAAAAAAATGTAAAAATATTATTCGAGAATTTCAACAAGAATGGGTTCGAAATGGTCGTGTCGTTTGTATATATGTGGTGTGCAGTAAAACACCATTGGAATTAGACAAATAGGAATGAAAATAGACAAAAAGAACGAGTCGTAGAGACAAAGACATGGAGATAGAGATATAGATAAAGGAAAGAAGTGAAAAAACCCAGCACAAATATAAAAATAAAAATTAATGCTTCATTTTATTGCTGTGATGTGTCGTACGCGCCCGAAAATTCATTGCCCGATTATTACAGTTTAGAGATCATAATGCGTAGTGCATGCGAAAATATCACATTCGCCACACATTGTTCGCTTTACCGAGAGTCTTTTGCTAGGAACTTGAGATTAGTCGCCGGGAGAAAGAAAGAACGAAAAGACAGACAGAAAAAAAATGGTAGGCCGAATGTAAATCATATGAGATTAGGTTATCATTCGTTTACGTTTCAAATGGCCGTATACACCTGCAAGCTGTAGTTTATACAGTTCCCAAGCCATTGCTTCTTTCCTCCTCTTCGTCACCTCCTCCTCCAAAATCCAGTGAATCAATTTATCCCAAAATTTATTCAAAAGACGTTTAATCAACTAAAATTTGTTTGTCGGTTGATTAAATTCCATCGCAACAAAATATGCATACGAATTCGCTCCATCACCACCTCTCTCACACACAGAACGCCAGAGCTCGATAAAAGGAATAAAAACGGGTAAATATAAAAGTGATGAAAATCCATGAGCGAAAAAATTATGTTTGTTAAAAAATATCTTCGCATTTTATGCAGGAAAAAAAACACATTGAAAAACTTTCGTTTCAACAAATTATAGTTATGATATCATCATTTAAAAAATTGCAATGTGCTGGAAAGGTGGGAGCGCACAAAAGCGCGATGAGGACGTTGGGGGAGACGGGGCAAACGAAATGGCTTGGTTTTCATCGCGGAAATCACGCATTTCGCATAAATCATCGTTAAGTCAAATCGTCTGTAAATCGTCTTCCATAGATCATTTCAAGCATCAACTGCAAGTCAATAAATAAAAAATTTAAAGGTATTTACGAATGTGAATTGCTTGGCTCTTTTGTTCTGTTCCATTGGAGCCGCGATGCCGTGCAACAAAACGCTATTATTCAATGTATGAATAAGCGAGATGATGGAAGCACACGGCAACATACACTCACTCACACACACAAACACATACGCGTTGACTCGGATGCTTGTGTCTTGCAACCATACACACAAACACACACACACACATGAGCAAACGGAGCAGCTTCCTATTTTATTTAAAAGTTGTGATTCTTCCTCTTCAGCTGCCAGATTGTGAGAGACCTCGTTCACTTGCTACACCATTTTTACATAAATAAATTGGCTGCGTTTTGTAATCATAATTTATTTCTGTGCTTCACTTTTTCGCGCGCGTATAGCAATGCACGATATAGTGACGGCAGCATCATCAGCGCTGACGGTGTGTTGTGCACGGAAGAGCGAGAGGGACAGAAAAAAAGATGCAAACTGGCTCAATGGTATATGTTCTCTATAACACATCAACACATCGGGTGCACATCCATCGTCGTGATGGTGCTAGAGTGAGAGAGAGAGAGAGAGAGAGAGAGAGAAAGTGAGCAGAGCTCTCGTGTAACAATTCACATTTGACGAAGTTTTGAGAAAAAGTTGATTGTGTAGGGTAATCAATTCTGTAACGATTTTTTACGCAACGTTTACCTAGTGAATTAGTTAAAAGTCAGGCAAATGCTTGTGATGTGCGTGGGTATGAAAACTTTGGAAAGTTCGAGCAACGGTGAATTTGAAAAGAAGTGAAGAGAAGAAAGAGGAAAAAAATTGGTGTGTATGAGAGAGTGAGAGAGAGAATGAGGGAAAGGAGTCGTTCGAACGAACACATAGTCCCCTTTTTTTCTGCAGTAAAAATGATGATGCGAACAATGGCATTGAACAAATCGGCTATTTTCTCTATCTAAACTCACTTCACTTTTACTTATGGCAATTACGATGGTATTTTTTCCATAATTTATACAACCACTTGATGAAATGTCACTGGAGTTGTTGTTGCTGCTTTTTTGTATCTGTGTGTGTATGACATGAATGCGCAACAATTTCCCAAAATTTCTTTTCCCTTTATTATTATAAATAAAAATTTTGTGATCGCTGCACCGCGTACTTTTTTATGTTGATCTTTTTTTTGTCGTCGTCATCGTCGTTTTCGTTGGGATGGGAGATAAATTTAAGAGGAAAAAAAGAAATAAACGCATTGTGTTATTACTGTTTGACAAAGACTGGTTGGAATGTGTGTGTGTGTGTGTGTGTGTGTGCTTTGTTAATTGCATTTGTGAGTTGGCAAAGCAATGAATGGGTCCCCTTTCAACTCAAGCTGAGGGTTTTCGTTTTCGGTGTGCGCCTTTGTCGAGGTTTTGCGACCAACATAAAGCGACTACATATTTCATTGAGTCGGTTGAGCAGGTTATCTTTTGCGGACGACACAGATCATGTATATGGTTGGTATTCAGTAATTGGAGTTCGTTTTTTTTATATCACATATATGCGCCGGAACACGCGAGCTTTACGACAACCGTTTCTAATTCAGTTTCATTTTTATCATATGCTTCAGATGCATATTTCCGCCAAAATACCAACCATCTTTCTCTTTCACTCATTCTTACTCATTCGTGCTGGCTCGGTCTCTCTCACTTCGATTTACTCACCAACCGCGAGTGGCACTGCGCTCGTATATGTATAATAACGATGAAAATTAACATTTTATTTATGTTCGTTAGTTGAGAATAAAGCAGCTGCTAAACAGTTTTGCATTTGAATTGTGGAAAATCAAACATTCTGCCCTAACTCACACGGGCGGCGGCAATGAAAGTACAAAGCACACATTTGCAATGGGCCAAATCATCAGCGACGAGCACCGAAAGAGATAGAGAGAGATATTGAGTGAAAAAAAACAACAAGTAGACAGATATTTTTATACGTTTTATTCACGTGCAATTACTGTGGAACGTGTGGCGCTGGCATATGGATGTAAGTGACGTGCACAGCGTTCGTACAATTCATTCATCGAATAGGTGTTGAAAAGCTCCTTTTATGCTGATTGTTTATTATTACTATTAGCGCGATCGTGTATATTTTATATATACATTTTTCTTTTGGAGCAGCGTACGCGGGCGCTTATTTGTGTGTGTGTGTGTGTGTGTGTGTGTTGATGTATGTATATCGTTGTTCGTCGTTATTCGGTATAAGCTAGTCAAATTCCAGGATATGTGTATATGATATTGAACGGGAAATCTTCAACGAATGTGCGAACGGCGAACGAAATGCAAGTTTATGTTATTCGTGGTTTCTATTTCATAATAATATGCTTATTATTCGTGTACTCGTTCGCAAATTTTTCGTACATTCATTCATTCGTTGGTTTCTTTGGTTGTTCGGCTTACTCGTGTGCTTCCACTCCGTAGATATCTCTCTCTCTCTCTCTCTCTCTCTCTTCTATCTTTCGTTTTCACTGAAAATATATGATGTTCTTGGCATATTCCTCTTTTGGCACAGTCTCGCCTACTTACACGATATAAGAACTTTGAGCATAGAATCCAGTTGATTTCATTTCTTCCTTAACCTGAGCGCCAGGGTTTTACACTGACTCCAGTTTTCACAACCGATTTCCATCCGCATACGCAACCGATGAGGACGACGACGTAGAAGACGATGGCGATGACAATGACACCTTGGCAAAAAAAATCTACTCCATGCTACCGAAACATTGAAAATTTCCACACATTTTCCTTCCCATTTCAATGGATTATTCATCATTTTTGACGTAGTCGTGTTTTCCTACACGAATCAATTCCACCAGGCAGTCGTAAAATGTGACCTCAAACCAAATGAATGAAGCGAGAAAAAAAATACGAAAAGCATTCAACCCTTCCCCGTCTCGGTGCTCTAATCGGAAAGCTAAGCAAACGCATTTGTGGCCTAAGTCGATCATCTTTCGCTGATACACGCACGCCATAAAGTCCAATGCGAAATGGGTATTGTGGATGGTCAAACGGTCTCGATAATGTGAAAACGGTGCCATTATTGTGTTCCATGGTTGCGTTGTTGCTGCTGTTGTTGTTATCGGGGAGTGCGATAAGCTTCGCAGCATTAGCGGCATTCGCGACAAGAAGTGCTTGATTTGCGTTCATTTTTACGTGAAAACGACGGTATTATATGCAAAGTAGAGTATAAAATCTTCATTCGTCTGCCATCCAACGTGTTCTTCTTTTTTTGTAGCATTCCAATTTTTTTTCGCTTGCTTTCGTTCCCTTTTTCCCATCTACTGATATATACATGTGGATTTTTTTATTCTCAACTTGATAAATGCGAAGGTGTGAAGTTGTATATGTGTATGTGTATGTGTGTATGTGTATGTGTATGATGTGAGTGCATGGTTACGCAAAACGGGTTTGCTCCATTTCCATGTCGCCTCTCTCGCTGTTTCTAAAAAAAATTCTTCTTTTATTGCAATTCAAGTGTATGTTGCGCGCTGCGTTCAATGTATAAGAGTCTCTGTTGAGGTGCAAACAAACGTACAATTTTTTCATCGTCGTCGTCGTTGTTGTCGTTGTCGTCCTCATCTTCTTCTTTTTCTTTTTCATTTCTCTTTTGCATCTCTCGCGCGTTCTCGCTCTCTTTCGTCGTGCAACTCTTTAATATTAACTTTTGGATTTTTAATCGAAAGCGAACAAAAAAAGTGCCGACGAAAAAAATGGTTTATGGCAGCATAGTGGAATTATCGGATGGAAAAATGCAATATATTACAATTCACCATCTTTCTTTTGCATTGTAAATATAATACGAACATGTTATTCGATTCGCCTTTCATTCTACTGCCGTGTTTTTTACTTCGCGCGCGCTCAATCCTCGATACGATCGAGCGAGTGAGTGAGCAAGCGAACG